CTTTTAATGGAAGATGATTCAGAATCCCATTTCTTGGTAGGCATCTTGCTAGAGCAGTGTCTTCAGGTCTGTCTGATGATAGATTCCAGCATGACGGTTTGGGGAGTCTGTCTGTGAGGTGTTCTCTGATGTAAGCCCGTGCTAATCAACATACCACGTCTCAGGTAGTGTACAAATGCCATTAACTCAGAATGCAGACTCCTCTAGTTCAGAACCCACTGCCTTGGTGGCTGGCCTTTGCACTACACATTAAAAAACCCTAGCTAAGCAAGTTGATGGATAAATACAATTGCAAGGCAAATGTTTAACCTTCCAAAGAAAATAAACCTTTTTAAAAGAAGTTTAACTTAATCCGTACCATGCCACTGAAAATGAATGCGCTATTTATAAACCTACCCTTAAAACGAGCCCCAGAAGATTGATTACACTTTGCCACCTATTAATTCATATTATCAAATATACCTTGTTTCAAAAATAGCCTTTCTGGGACCAGCAGTTAGCGTAATGACTATGTCGCTGGACTCCCATGTAGTCGACCGTGGTTCGTGTCCCGGACCCCATGGCTTAAAATCACGCCGGGCATGTGTGCGTGTGTGCCCAACATCCCAAGAGGAGAACGGAGGAGAAGGGATTGCGGCATGGCCATCCCCTTGGGGGGCGATTTCTTGCTTTCTGTCTCTCTGTCTCTGTCTGCCTGGTGAGTGCACGCGTCCTATAGCAAAAACCTCTCAGAAAAAAAAAAAAAGGCTTTCTGTCTAAACCTCTGGCAGTTCGGGGTGCTCCACTAACCCACTCAGGCCTTTACCCAGCATTCCAAGATGACACTGCTGCACCCTTTCTGAGCATTTCCAGCTGAGAGGCTTCATGTGTCTTTCTACTTCTCCTGAGAAGAGTCATGTTCAAGTTGTAAGAGCTGGCAACCCATTACAAATCCCTCTTCTTAGAGGATTCCACGGGAAAAGCCCGGCTCATTTACATGCACACCGGGAATTCATGTGTTCAGAGTGGGATATAGTAAAAAGCAGGTTGGCTGACTCCAGCTGTCACCAAGGAGGGAAAAAGGAGGTCACTCATCGCAGCGAGTGAATGTAGGTCCTGGCAGTATAAGCCTCTATTACAGAGGTCACCTGTCTGTTCAGGGCATGCCCTCCCGTCCCGTCCAATGAGACCCAGGCCTGGGCTTTTGGCAGTGATGCTGGGCTGGTGGAGAAGAGGTGAGGAGGACTAGGAAAATGAGAAAGGTGCACAGAGACACTTTTGCAGAATGAAAGGGGGCGAAGCACAGGAAACTTTAAGGCAGCCCACAGACAAGATGAAGGGAAAGCTGGGATTCAAAGAGGTGACCAGGCAGGATGCCTGGGACAGGGAAGGCAGGCAGGCAGATGACACCAGTGAGTTCCTAAAACCCTCAAAGTCCAGGCTTATTCTGGAACCACCAGGCCTCACACGCCGACGGTCCATCTGGTGCAACGCACTGAAGAACAATGTACAGCTTATGGACGGAGAGCCAAAGCACCAAGTCTTAACCTCGACAGGACGGCCCACAGCCCCCGGGAGTCGGAAGGAAAGGCACCGAAGAGCACAGTACCCGAGGTGGCTTTCTACAAAGTTGACAAAACACCCCCCAGCCCCCAGACGCAGCCCCTTGTAACTGGGAAACCAGTCCTTTACTTGTGAATGCAATGCCAAGTTCCTTTTCTAATGCTCCCCGGGAGTGTCCAGCAGAGGGAGTCTCAAGGAGGTACTTAATAAAGAGAAAATTGTTTCATTTTAACACTCTAGACAGTGGGAGCATTGACGGTAGCCCCCTCCCGTAGACACAGATGAACAATGAATGCCCACCATGGGTTCTGCTACAGGATCACACATCCAGCGGCATGTTCTATTCTGCGTGGTGCAGTGATCAGAGATTTCGTTTTGTTTTGTCGAATGGTTAAATGGACCTTGTGTTCTTCAGAATCAAATAGGAAAGCCCCAGGAATAACATCTCTCTGTTGCCTTCTAAACAGCCCCTTTGTTTCTAAGAGAGTCTGAAAAAAAAAATATTTACAGTCCATAGGTTATTTACAGCCTCGTTATCCAAGGCCTGACTGGTAACTTTATTCGGCCCAGAAACCTAATTCATTTGGAGCCCTGGAACTAATAACAGATTTTCTTTTCAGATAAGTTTTTTTTCTCTCTTTCTTTCTTTCTTGTTTTTTAATCAGCCTTTCCACACAGAGATAAAACTATGAATGCCTTCCTGCCTCGCTGCCCACAACTGCTCTCCGGATTTCTTTCTCATGCCCTCCTGTTCCACCGAATCCCTTTCCCCTCTCATCTGCTAGCTCATCCACGGAATTATCTGCACAAAACCGAAAGAAAGCCAGATGGACCGCAGCTAGAAGTACGCGAGGGCTGCCCGCTCCCCGACCTCACGCGAGAAACATTTTCACGGAGACACGACTGAAAAAACCTGGCACTCCGGTTTCAAATCCCTCCTACCGCAGGCACAGAAAACACATCGAAGTGTAAAAACTTAGTTGATTCTGGTTTGATTTCTGGCTGAGGGGCTGACAGAACTGAAGAGAAACGAAAGGGAGTGTGCAAGGCGGACCGAGAGCTCTCCCTCCGCTCCTTCCTTTCTTCCTAAGAAGGGAGGTCGGAAATCGCCCGACGCCAGGTGCAGACGGTGCACAATGCGCTTTACCTAGCCCGACCCGGAACACGTCTCCGCCGCCCCCCGGCTGGAGCGCCCCAACTCGCTTCCCCCCTGCCTACGCTAATGCGGGGACATTTCAGCCCATTTCATTGTTCTGCCTGGGTCTGAAACGGACTTTGCATCTCGACCCCTCTCCCCACCTAGCCCGGCACATTCGGATTCCACAGCCCCCCACCCCCAAATCCGGGGCTGGCGGAGAAGAAAGGAGCGTGGGGTGGGAGTGGAACGGCCAGGGGGGCTGTGAGGGCTGAGAAGTAGGAAGGACGGGAACCGAGAGGTGATGTCCCCGGAGGGGGCGAGAGCCACACCGCGCCACCTTCGTCACAGACACAGAGGAGCGCGGCGGCGGGGCTCCCCGGCCCCCCAGGCTTCCCCGGGG